GTGATAAGTTAAAATGAAGATCCAACATACTGAAACTAACGGGATGCACTCAGAGGAAAATGTATAGTTGTAAATATCTACAGTAAGTCCACACTTAACACCACTGGGAGGCTCTGCGACTTTAAGGAAACCAGCTTTACCATAGGCTAACTGACACAAACGGGTTACCTTCCGACGGCATCTCATCAATGTGATAGTGAAGGCACCCTGAGCCATGATGTGCTGGACATACACATAGAAGACAGATATAAATTCAGTAACCCAACCTTCCACTTCAAGAAACTAGAGAAAGAAGAGAAAACTAAATTCAAAGCAAGCTGAAGGAAGGAAATACTAAAGATTAGAGCAAAGAGCTAAAAGCAAGGACTCAGAAGAATATTTGTACACCCATGTTCACGTGCAGCATTATTCGCAAGCCAAAGGGTGGAAGCAATCCAGTTGCTCATTGATGAATAAATGGGTAAGCAAAACATGGTAATCACACACACACACACACACACACACACACATACACACGAATATTATTCAGCCTTTAAAAAGGAAGGAAATTGCCCCAGTCGTACCCTGGTGGCTCAATCAGTTTGAACACTGTCCCGTGCACCCAATGGTTGTGGGTTTGATTCCCCGTAGGGCACATACCTAGGTTGCAGGTTTGATCCCCCATCGGGGTGCATACGGGAGGCAACCAATCGATGTTTCTCTCCCTCTCTCTCTCTCCCTCCCTGCTTCTCTCTGAAATCAATAAAAACATATCTTCGGGTGAAGGTTTAAAAAAAAGGGAAGGAAATCCTGTCACATGCTACAGTGTGAATGAAGCTTGGAGATATTATAAGTGAAATAAGTCGGTTACAAAAGGACAAATGCTGTATGATTCCATGTATAAGAGGTTCCTAGAGTAGTGAAATTCACAGAGACGGAAAGTAAAATGATGCAGGGGAGAGGGGAGAGAAAGAAAGGGAATTACTGCTTAATGGGGGCAGACTTTCAGTTTTGCAAGATACAAACGAGTTCTGTGGATGGATGGCAGTGATGCTGGTACAACAATGTGAATGTACTTATTGCCACTGAACTATACATTTAAAAATGGTTAAGATGGTAAATTTTATGTTATATATTTTGCCACAATATTATTTTATTTTATTTTATTTATTTTATTTTTAAATATATCTTTATTGATTTCAGAGAGAGAAAGGGAGAGGGAGAGAGAGAGAGATAGAAACATCAATGATGACAGAGTCATTGATCGGCTGCCTCCTGCACGCCCCCCACTGGGGATGGAGCCCGCAACCCGGGCCTGCGCCCTGACCAGGAATCGAACCCCGATCGCCTGGATCCTGGTTCGACCCTCAACCGCTGAGCCACGCCCGGCTGGGCTGCCACAATTTTTAAATGATTAGACTGGAAAGCAATGAAATAGGAAATAGAAAAATAATAGAAGAAAGTAACTAAACCCAAAGTCTGTCCTTTGAAAAGTTCGACAAAACTGACAAAACTTTATAGCTAGATTGGCTAAGGTAAAAAAGAGAAAAGACTCAAATTATAAGAATCAGAAATGAAAGAGGGGGACATTTATACCAGGCTTACAGAAATAAAAAGAATTATAATAGAATATTATGAACGACTGTATGCCAACAAATTAGATAACAGATGAAATGGACAAATTCCTAGAAAGGCACAAACTCAGAAACTGACTCCAGAAGAAATAGAAAATCTGACTAGACCTGCAATGAGTAAAGAGATTGAACTAGTAATTTTAAAAATCCCCCCCCTAAAAAAATGCCTAAGCTGAGATGCTTTCACAGATGAATTTCACCAAACATTTAAAAAAGAATTAGTATCAATTCTTCACACAATCTTCCAGAAAATAGACAGGATGGAATACCTCCCATATCATGGAACCAATAAACGATACTACATGAATAAAACTTGAAAACAATACGTTAAGCTAAAGAACCTAGGGCACGAAGACCACATATTATATGATTCTATTTATATGAAATATCTAGAATAGGGAAATCTATGGAGACAGAAAGTAGATTAGTGGTTGCCTAGGGGCTGGGGAATAGGAGGGTGACAGCTAAAGAGTGTGAGGTTTCTTTTTAGGTGATGAAAATGTTCTGTAATTGAATTGTACACTTTAAACGATTAAATTATATGGTAAGTAAATTATATCTCATTAAAGCTATTACCAAAATAAGCATTCCACTTTTAAATATTATATATTTAAATATTTCATTTGAGCAAAGTTTTCCAGGCCTTTTAAAAGACTTGTTCACGTGTTCCTTCCTTCAGGGAGACGCACTGAGCACCTGCTGTGTGTGGTCTCGGGCTGGCATGGAGGTCAGACAGCAAGGGGTACAGAGCTAAATCTAGCCCAGCACTGCCCCTGAGCTTGTGGTCAGGTGAGGGGTGGTGACCACCCAATCAAATTCCTGCCAACATGCCTAGGACCTTGCCAGGAGGGTACACTCTCCATTGTGACCCAAAGGAGGAAAAAATAATGCTAGCCAACATTTATTGAGTGCCCACCGTGTGCAAGGCACTGTGCTAAGCACTTTCCATGCACTGTTTCATTGGACCCTCACAATCCTATGAGTTAGTGTCATTAGCTTCATTTTACAGATGATGAAATTGATGTTTTGCGCCTTTGTCACCCCCCCTTCCCCCACCTCTCGTGAAGGGTGGAGGGAGATACTTGGGTCTGCAGGAGTCCCAGATAGAATCAGGTTTGTGATGAGACCAGAACAGGGCCTCTGCCCATTCAAGGGAGAAACTGAGGCTCCACAGGCCATGGGGGTCTCACTTGGAGTGGCATGGGTACTCAGGGAGGCAAAGAGCATGGAGGTCCCAACACCCGGGCACTCATATTCGTCTGCCCTCTCCTCACACTTCACCTCTCTGAGACTCTGTTTCTTCAGCTGTAAAGTGGGGTTATTACTCCTATTTCTGCCAGAGCGTTAAGAGCCCTGCACAAGATAAGTGAACACGCTGTATAATCCACATGAAGGAAGAAGCAGAGTCAGCCCTGCGCTGGAAAGTGGGAGGCACTGAGGGCAGGGACCCTCTGCCCACATTAGAAAAGCTCAGGCCCTGCCTGGAGAGAGGGCAGTGGGTGCAGACATACTCACACGCCCCTTCCCCAGCCCACCTCTGGCTCACCACCCATTGCCTTGGGATACTGGTCATGTTGTGGGAGGATCTGCCACCCTTCTCCCATCAACCTGCCAGCCCCATTCACACCCTCCTCATCCTGGAAGCCTCCCCAGGCTTCGAGCCCAGCGTGAGCACACCTCCTTCTGACTGTCACCTGCCTGGGGGGAGGGGGTAAAATCCTGGATCCTCCTGCTCAACGTTCCTCTGTAGTTCTTGACTCACACAAAGCATCACATAACATGAGGCTAATACGAGCACTTTACCCATCGGGTAGCTGTGAGCACTGAATGAAGTAATGCTTGGGAAGCACTCATCACAGTGCCTGTGTCCTTCCATGGGGCTAAGTCCTGCTCTGCCCCCTCCCAGGCTGCAAGCGGGAGAGGGTGGAGGAAAGTTTTAGAGATGCTGCTGCGAATGACTGAGAGCAGAGAACCCCTCTGCTGGGGGCTCAGCTGGGGAGGACACAAGGGGTCCTGTCCATGGGTGGGCCATGGACATAACTCTGAAGACTAGCCAGGTCTTTAGTTGCTTGCTTGCCCTTGCCCTTTTCAGAGAACCCTTGGAGGGTGAGGCCTCACCTTCTGCTGAGATTTCTCGTGCCCAAGGTCCCTGCTGACTACATATTGAGGGGTAGACAGGGCTCACTAGAGGGTGGATTTGGAGGACATCCACCAGTGGGTCAACTCCCCCTACTCAGGAACTAGGGAGGGCCTCCCCTGCCCGGGGCACAGGGGGCGAAGCTCACTGGTGTACATGAATCACCCGGGTGGGGGTCTTACTAAAATGCAGCTCTGGGGAGCGCCTGAGAGTCTGTATTTCCACAGGTTCCCAGGCAACACTGACTCGGCCATGCCTGGCTGTACTTTAACAGCCAGGACAGAAGCGTGGCACTGCCAGTTGTGCGGGGAGTGGTGAGCAAGGAGCACATCTCAGCTCCCACGGGTCCTGGAGGGACCCAGCCCCACCCAGCCATGCCCTCAGCTTCCAACATCTGGAGGGTGAGACAACATGGGTTTTCTGAGTTTACAGGATTCCATTTCCATGACATACACAAAATAAAGTAGTACCACATCATAAAAACACTGGAAAATATGAAAAAATAATAGGGAAAAATCACTGATAATCTCAGACTGTATTTAAAATGACTGTTGACCTCTCTCCCCAGGATTCCAAAGCCGCATCTGTCAGAGAGCCTGGGCTCACCTCAAGAGAGGGGTCTGCCCCAGGAGCCCCGCCCTGTCAGCGAAGCATTCGGCGAGAGACCCTCCATCTCCTGGTCTCCTTTCCTCCCCAGCCCCACAGTGCCTTCGCCAGCGCCATCCTGGGGGCAGAGTCGGGCAGTCACCCCTCCCTCCAGAGCCCCCTCCTCCCTCCAGGCAGCAGGCCGAGGAAGCCTGGCGCAGAGGAGGCAGAGGTGGGTCTGGGGGAGGGGGCGCACATCTGGATTCCTGGCCCAGAGCCCACATTCCTACCCTGTGAGTGTGAAGAGATGGGGTCTCGGGGGAGACCTGTGAGGAGGCTGCTGGCCCCCGTCCCGCCTCACCCGCCACACTGTAACAGGGGAGGGACTTGAAAGTCCAGAACCTCATTTTGGGTTCCCCCACCCAGATTGCTGCCTAACCAGTGCAATTCCAAGCTGGGCCTCTGTCCTTTCACATCAGCCAGGCTTAACTCAGAAATACCAGAGGGGACAAAAAGGTGGAGACCGGAGAGGGCCACAGGGCCACTTGTTCATGGAAGGGGATGGTGGGGGGAGCTGCTGCACCTGCCTGATCCATAGAAGCTGGTCCACAGGTCAGCAGGTCAGCAGGGGGCCCACGAGCCCCACCTGGGCCAGGCTGCCTTACCTGGGGGCAGTCCTTGATGTAGTGTCCTTTGTTGAAGCACAGGTGGCACAGGTAGTTGGGCGGGGGCCTCTTGCTGGGCTTTCGGGTCTCGGAGGTGAGGGTCAGGTCCGAGAAGTGCTCGGTGAGGGAGCTGAGGCCGTCGGCGATGTTGTTGAGGGAGCCATAAGGCGAGGCGCTTTTGTACACGCTGCTGCTCAGTGCCTGTGGGGACAGAGGCTGTGAGGGCTCCAGAAGGCCTGGACACACTCATTCGCAGCCATAACCTTGGGGAAATGTCCATGGGCACACACACACACGCATGAATTCATAATGAAGCTGCAGCTGCCCGTGGGCTCTGGCTTCCTGAAGCCTGAGCTCAAATCCTAACTGTACCTGTGTGTCCATGGGCAAGTCAGTTAACCACTCTGGGCCGCAGTGGCCCCATCTGGAAAATGGGCATAATAAGCTCTATCTCCTAGGGTTTCTATAAGACTAATGCGAAGTCACAGGTGTATAGCTCTCATCTGCCTGGCACTTAGGAGCCGCTCCAGAGATGGTGATGAGGGTGATGCTGATTATTACTGTCATTAGTTCTTCAGACTCTGCCAGGAGATAAGCAGGTCCAGCAAAAAACCACCTGTGAGGTTAGGGGCTCTGCCACTCACTGGGGGAGTGACTGGAGACAAGTCACTGATCTCTGAGCTGACTCAGTTTCCTCCACTTGCAAAGAAGGGGATGTCGATGCAGGGAGCAGGCTGAGTCAGCGCTTTGCCGGGTCTCTGGAAGCGTGAGACCTGTGCAGACCCTCTGGGGAGCCCTCGGCCCGGCCCAGCCAGCTCTCTGGGGACCCAGGGAGGAAGTGGCCCACCTCTCCCACCTTTCTCACCTCTCCCACCTCCAGTTGACAGGAACCAGATGTCTCGCCTGGCTTCAAAGCAGACGTGGCCCAGGCCCCCTCCCGGTGTATACACCCTCTATTTATAGGAGTCACAGGCTCCGTGGCCAGGCACGCTGGAATTTAGTGAAGGTGGGGCCTGCGGTGAGGCCATGGGCTCCCTTTCCTGGGGCAAGGCCAAGGCTGGAAAGAGGCAGCTCCCTCAGGGGGTGGGTCTATGTCATGCCTGGGCATGGGCTTGGGCATCCCGACCCCAGCTCAGGTGCCCAAGAACTCCAGGAGTGAACTGCAGGCCTTGGGGAGCCTTGGGTCTAATGAAGAGACATGGCCTTTTGCTTGGGAGTCCCCAGGCTGATGGGCAAGGAGAGCCCCTGAGAGGAAGTTGCCTCAGGAACCCTTACAAAGACAGGGCAGACAAAGGCTCAGGGTGGGGCAGTCCTTTCTGTGTCCCCTCAGTGTGAGAAGGGGATGGAGGTGAGCTAAGAGCTGGCCCCAGGAGATCAGGCACCCCCCCCACACACACACACACCCAGGACAGATCCCACCCCTTACACATCTACGTCAGCCTCCCTACTTGTTCCATCTCTGGAGGTCTGGTGCGCCCCTTCTAGAGGACACAGCCCTTACCATCTGGGTTCCAACACTCTTCTTGACCCCCTGGACACCCTGCTATGTGACTCTGGGCCAGCCCCTTGCTCCCTCTCATGTAGGTTTGGACTGGAGACTAGGATCTGGAAGGAAAGACCCAGACGTGCCCAGGGCAGCCCAGGCCAAACACACAGTCGGCCGCCTCCAGCAACTGAGAAGGCTCTCAATCACCTCTCTGCTCTACCACTGCCCAGTGCCTCCATGACACCCAGGACCAGTGGAAGATGCCACACAAACCCGCATTCGGTCTGAGCGCAATTCTCCAGCTTTCAGATGGCCCAAGATGGGGTGGTCCATCCTGAGAGGCAGAGGGTCCCCCATCCCTGGATGTGTGGGAGCCAATACTGAGTAACCTTAGGGGCATGGGAGGGGTTTAATGGAAATGGGATTAGGTAATAACTGAGCACCTACTATGTACCAGGCCCTAAAAACTGAACACATATTAAGATAGCCATTGTCCCTGTTGTACAGATTAAACGAGCATGTTCCAACCTGTACTGAATGATCTGGGAAACTTTTAACAAACACAGTTTTCTGGGCCCCACTTCAAACCTACCAATGCAGCCACCTTGGACTGAGGACCTGGAATCTGCACTTTTTATTGTGGAAAACTATACATATATAAAATCTGTCATTTTAGTAATTTTTAAGTGTATAGTTCAGTGGCATTGAGTACACCCTTATCATATGCAACCATCACCACCATCTATCTCTAGAAATTTTTCATCTTCCCAAATGGAAGCTCTGTTCCCATTAAACACTAACTTTCCCTCTCCCACCACCGCTCTAATCTGAATTTTTAAAGCTCCCCCAGGCAGTTCAGGTACAAAGAGCCCAGCCCACTTGGCGGAGCACCTGGACCTTCTGATGGTCAACGTCTCTCCTTAGACTGACTCTCGGCCTCTCCCCACCCCGCTGGCCTGAGGGAGGGCAGCATGGCCCCAGCCTCCCCGAGAAAAGTTCATCCAAACACAAAATTTGAAGCTCCAAATGCATGACTCACCCTCATGGCTGGGAAATGCAATTTCACAAATAACAACCCTCTTTTCCCCCCTTTTCTTTCTTTCCCTTTTCTTTTCTGGATGAGATTTAAGCAAGTCCACAGGAATCAGGACCGTTTTGGCAGCAAATCCTGGAGAGGAAGGGGAAGCTTGGTGGGTGCCAGAAAGTGCACTAATTACACCCTGAAAACCCTTCCCTCATCAGGCGGCCCCGCTCCCCTGCGCACAGCCCCGCTGGTATCCCCGCACACCCGGGCCTCTGAGCAGGCTGCCCTCTCCCTGGCAGCTCGACACCTCTCGGGGGCCACACTTAGCCCCTGTCACAAAAGCAGCTCCTAGTCAGACGGCGAGGCCAGGGCTCCTCTCCTCACTGCTTCTCCCACCTCCGCAGTGCTCCAGCCTGTGCCTCACGGCTGCTCCAGCCCAGTTTAAGATGATGTCACCTTAGAGATGGAAGGACAGAGTGGCAAATGGATACAACCTCACTCTCACAGATGGAGAAGCTGAGACCCAGAGGACCAGGGGCACAGACCAGGGCACACAGTCAGGCCTAAGGGCCAGTGTCACAAAGAGTGGGTGGGGCAGCAAGCTGCTTCCTCTCTAAAGAAGTTGGAGAAGGAGCTGGGGCCATGGAGGTGAAAGGCGAGTCGGACTCTCAGATGTTCCCAGGCCTGTGGCGACTGGATGGAGCAGAGGCCAGGACACCCACAACTTCCTCCCGTCTGCATGCAGGGCTGGGCCTGACCTCTTGGGTGTCCCATGGGCAAAAAGTAAAATGGAGCAGGAAAGGTAGGCAAACTTGATGATCCTGCAGCCCTACTTTCTTAAGGTCGGACACGCAGGAACTGACAGATACCCCCAGAGCCCAGCAAGTAGATGGCACCAAGGGCAGGCTGGGCAGCAACTCCCTGTGGTCAGCCCCTAACTCTGCAGCAGCCGGGCTGCTCCTCTCTGCGTCCCAAGGAGCAACTGCTTTTCTACCTCTAGTCCTGCACTTGCTGTCCACCCCCGGGAGGCCTATCCAAACCTCCTCCGGAACCTGACTCCTGATGTGGTTCTATTTCTAGTGGTGGGGCCTCGAAACCACCCCTTCCTCTTACTCAGGCCTTGGACTCCGCGGGACAGTGTGAAAAGCCCAGATTCAGGTGCTCCTGAGGCCTCACTGGCCAGAGGCCCCAGCTTCCTCCAGGGGCCTGCTGGGCATTCCTGCCATATAGCCCTGTCCCTCAATGCTATAGGTGGGGTGGGGCCACCCCATGACTTCCCTGCCCTTGCCTGAAGGAGCCTGAAGTCTTTCTCTGATCTCTTTGCAAGACGTCGCCTCCTCACGTTTCCACAAAGCTGGACATCCCTGAAGGCAAAGATTCTGTGACCCCTGTCACTCCAGAGCCCAGACTGTTCGACTGCTCCTTACACCTGGGATGGCCCTGGGTACAGATCATCACAGGCAGGGGAGGGCCTGGGAGTCCCACCTGACAGAAGCAGACAGATGCCTTAACACCTTGAAGGATTTGGGTTGAGGTCCCCGAGTTCCTGTGGACTAAGTCGGAGGGCGATCTCACCCTAGATTCAGCTGCTCTGGGGACTGGTCAGGAGCAGCCCCCGAGTGTGATGGGTGGAAGCCTCTGGGCCATCTAGGCCCAAATCACCAGCCTGGGAGAAAAATCACCTGTCCTTCCTCCCTAGGGCAGTGACCCAAGCAGCCAGCAGGAAGTGTGGGATCCTCACACATCTGGAAGACAGTGTCAGACTCCTACCCATTGCTGGAACTTCTCGAAGGTTCCGGCTTGGCTGCTGGGGAAAGTCAGATGGGAAGACACTAACATTTATTCTGATCCTACTTGTGTCACATACTTGACTAGATCCTTTCCCTCTCTTAGTCTTCGGCATTATTTTATGGAACTGGAAACTGAGGCTCTGAGAGGCTGAGCAACTGGCCCAAGCACGTGGCTGAGGAGACTCGGGCATCCAGGTCTGTTGGCCTGTTCTACGTCAGCCACCCAGGGCCTCCAAGGCTTGGCTTCCCCTCCAGGGAGGGGCGCCAGAGCAAAGCGCCAGGTGTGAACCACTCTGGCACAGGGGCCCCATGACATCATATTGCCAAGCCCCTCAGCACTGGCAAGATGAGGCACCCACTTTTCTGGGCTACGTGAGGGATCTGGGCCCTGGGGTTGGTGGTTCTGCTGAGGGATTTGGGGTAGAGAGGCAGAGGTTCCAGCACTGACTCAGCCTGCCAAGCTAGGCCCCTCCTGTCCCCACCACCCCCTGCACCAGTACAGCAAGAGGGCATGGTAGGTGGGGGGCAGGCCAGAATTAGGGCAGGTAGGCAGAAGTTCCAAGACCAGACTAGAGAAGAGACCAGTGCAGAACAGAGACAGCGACTGCTGGTGGACACGGGAGCAGCCCCTGCAGGGAAGGGCATGGAGGTGGGCAAGGGGATGAGAAAGGCAGTGTCCGAGGGGGCCTGGCAGAAGCAGATAATGAGCCCTGCCCCGCAGGCTGAGATGGACCCGGGCGGGGGGGACCTCCAATGCCAGTCCCCAGCTATGTGGGGGTTCTTTCACCAGCTGAACAACTGCTTTCATATCCCAAGTTTCCCCTCTATCCCCCACACGGACACATGCCCACGCATGCACACACGCACACTTGCACACACATACACGTCCACATTTCTCTCT